TTGATTCCTAGTTTTGCATAGAAAACTGTGAAACCCGAGTTGTCAAACTACTTTTCGTTGTCAGAAATCATGGCCCTTGGGACGCCAAAATGACAAATTATCGATTTTCACATGAAGTTTTTCACCTTCTACTCGGTGATCTTGGCTAACGCCTCGATTTCTGTCCATTTAGTAAAATAGTCCACGATGACTATGGTGAATTTATATTGCTCGACGTCAACTAGGAGAGGCCCTAGGATGTCTAGACCTCATTGTTGGAAAGGCCAATGGCTGATCATCGGTGTGAGTTGCTCGGGTCTGCAGTATGGCAAGTTTTCGTGGATTTGACACATCTGGCATCTCTTTACTATTTCCTTTGCATCCTTTGCCATTCTTCCTCCACTTGCCTAACAACCAGTTAAGAATCGCTGTGGATAATGATCTATTGTGCTTCCATTGACAAGGTAATTTTAACTCCGGAGATGAGGGCTTCGTACTTAGCCTCGTTGTTGGAAGCTTGAAAATTGAATCTCAACGCATATTCAAGACTTTAGCCTTTTGGGGAGGTTAGTATGAGGCTGGCTCCTGTCCTTTGAGCGTTCGAGGTGCCATCCACGTACAATCTCCAAGACGAGACGTCTATGGCAAGCTCGGGATTTTCAAGCTAGTCTTCCAATAAAGGGTGAATTCTGCAATGAAGTCGATGAGTACCTGGCCCTTAATGGCCGTCCTTGGCTTGAACTTGACATCAAACTTGTTGAGTTCCACTATCTACTTGAATAATCTCCCAAACAACTCCGATTTGTGCAGAACTTGTCTCATAGGTTGGTCAGTCAAGACTTCAATTATATATATTTTGAAATAGGGTCTCAGTCTCCTAGCAACAACGAGAAAAGTCAGGACGAGTTTACCCATCCTAGGGTACCTCTCCTCATCTCCTCTAAGGGCTTTGCTGCAGAAGTAAATGGGTTGTTGTACCCTCTCCTTGTTTTTTAATAGGGTAGCACTAACAAAAAACTCAGATACAACAAGGTAAAAGTTAGGGTTTCTCCTTCTTTCGAGCTGACTAGCACTGGGGGCAAAGCCAGGTAAGCTTTCAAGTCTTGGAAAACTTCTTTACACTTCTCGTTTCATTGGAAAATGACCTTTAAACTTTGAAGGATGGTTATCATTTATCGCTAGAACGTGAGATAAACCAATTGAGCGCCGCAATCCTCCTAGTGAGGCGCTGAACTTTCCTGATGTTAGCTGGTGACTTCATTTCTAGAATGGCTCTCACTTTTTCCAGATTCACCTCGATATCCCAGTTGTTGACAATGAAACCTAGAAACTTTTCAGCTGATACCCCAAAGCGAACTTGACTGGATTCAGCTTTATCCTATATTGTCTTATGATTTCAAAGGACTCTTAGAGGTGCTAGATATGAAACTTAGCCTTAAGTGACTTGATCAGCATGTCGTTAATGTATACCTCCATCATCGAGCTGAGCTTTTCTTGAAACATGCGGTTGACCAACCTCTGGTAAGTGGATCCGACGTTTTTCAATCCAAAGGACATAACCTAATAGCAAAAGGTCCCTTACTCTGTAACAAAGGAAGTCTTTTCTTGGTCATTGGAATCCATTCTAATCTAGTTGTATCTGAAGAAGGCGTCTATAACATTGAGGAGCTCGTACCCTACTGTGGCGTCGACTATGAGGTCGTTCCGGGGTATAGGAAAACTATATTTGGGGCAGACGCGGTTTAGATTAGTAAAGTCGATGCACAAGCACCATTTTTCATTAAACTTTTTGACCAACACTTTTGTTGGCTAGCCAGGTCAGGTAGTTGACCTCCCAAATGGCTTTGCCCTGTAGTAGTTTGACCACTTTTTCATTGATAGCCTTCCATCTCTCTGGGGCAAATGTCCTCCTCTTTTGTCTGACGGGCTTGCAATTCGAATCCACACTGAGTCGGTGAACTATTACTTTGGGATCGATTCCCTCCATGTCTTCCTGTTTCCAAGCAAAAACATCGACGTTCTCCTTTAAGAAAAGAATGAGCTTCTCTTTGATGTACTAAAGTAGCATAGAACCTACAAAGACCACATGCTCGGCGTCTTTGTCAACCTTCATCAGCTCTAGCTCCTCTGATGGCGTATGTCGGGTCTCAATCTCGTCTCTCATGTCCAGGTTGTCTAATTGAATAAATTCCACCTTTTTCTGCCTTATGGATGCTATGTAGCATTACCTAGCGATGCGTTGGTCCCCTCTCGCCACCCCAACTTCATTCTCTGTTGGGAACTTCATGCCTAAGTGATATGCCAAAGGGACAAATCTGATGGAGTTGAGAGATAGTCTACCAAGTATAATGTTGTAGGCAGAAGATGCGTCTACCACAAGGAAACAAATTGTAGTGATGATTTGGCAGGGGTGGTCTCCAAATGTGAGGATGAGCTGGATGAATCCCATAGGTAGGACTCTCTCTCCTGAGAAGCCTAAGAGATTTGTCTTCACGGTTTTGAGATTTGACTTATCTATGTCAAGTTGTTCCAAAGCAAAGAGAAAAATGATGTCAACCGAGCTGCCATTATTTATGAGGATGCGGTTTATAGTTTTGCTAGGATGATGACTTTTACAATCAAAGGGACATCATGGGGAAGCTAACATCCTTCCAGGTCAGCGTCTGAAAAAGTTATCTCCAGATCTCGGGACAGGGCCTTTCACCTAACATGGCCCTCTTGGTATAGGCTCTTCTCGCAGAGCTTGACTCTCCTCCTCCAGCAAAGTCCCCAGAAAAAATGTCATCCACATTCTCAACCTAACATGGCCCTCTTGGGCCTTTTGGTGTTGTTGTTGGGGTGGACCTAAAGCTCGGGCGTCCCTATCTTGTTCATTTCGATCTCTCCCCTCCCCTACCATATAATGCTGCAAATGTCCCTGTTGAACTAGGTACTCTATTTCCTTTTTTAGTTGGATGCAATCGTCTACGGCATGACCAGTATCTTTG